AACAGAACTACACCTTCCTTACAGGGTTGAGGTGAGAATGAAATAAAATAGCACTGGCAGGTGCTCAATGGTTAGAGCATCGACCCTCATACTGAAGGGTCTCAGGTTCCATTTCTGCTCAAGGGCACATACCTCGGTTGCAGGGCATGTGTGGGAGGCAACCAATCAATGTGTCTTTCTCACTCCCCCCCCCACCTCCCCTCCATGCCCTCCACTCCCTATAAAAATGAAGTCAATGGAAAAAATATCCTCAGGTGACAATAAAAAATAATAAAATAAAATAATAGACTAGGGCCTGGCATATCATATGGACTAATGAGTGGTAGCTGTTATTATTCCTATTTTCTTTCTCATTACTGAGCAATGAAGGACAGTTACACAGAGATGGGGCAGCTGCCAAGTGCTCCCCAGACATTTGAGTCTGTGTCCCTGGACCTGCCACTTCCTCCTCCTAGGAGCCCTCCAGGACCCCACCTTGATCTTCCACTCCATCACTGCCAACATCATCTGCTCCATTGTCTTTGGAAGACGCTTTGCCTACAGAGACCCTGATTTTCTGAAGCTTCTGGACATGTTCTACCAGTCCTTCGCACTCATCAGCTCCTTCTCCAGCCAGGTCAGGGAGAGGGTGAGGGAGGGTGGGGAGGAGGTGGACATCCAGGAAAGGGAAAAGGGGTGATCTGCTTTGGGGCCCCAGAAATGCAGCTTAAGGTTGGAAGATGTTTAGGACAACAGGGAGAGACAGGGCCACAGACACCTGGAGGGAGAGAGAGATGGTGAGATAAGGACTGAGAGACAAAGAGAAAGAAAGAAGAGTAATGGAGGAGGCAGAAACAGAGAGTCAGAGAATTGGAGAGAAAAGAGAGGGAAAGAGAGAAGAAGGAGGAAACAAGACAAAAAAGAGCAAAGATAAAGAGATCCTGAGAGGCAGAGTTGACAAGAATGTCAGAGAGAAAGAGAGAGAGAGAGAGAAACAGCAGACAGAGATTCCCCTCTACCAGAGGTATTAGGGCCCAGGAGGGTTGTCTCTTCCTGTGACCCACTAGCTCAGCCCCAGGAGGACCTTACAGCCCCATTGTCTCCCACAGGTGTTTGAGCTCTTCTCTGACTTCTTGAAGTACTTTCCTGGCACACACAGGCAAATCTACAGAAACATGCAGGAAGTCAAAGACTTTATTGGCCACAGTGTGGAGAAGCACAGGGAGACCCTGGACCCCAACGCCCCCCGGGACTTCATTGATACCTACCTGCTCCGCATGGACAAAGTGGGGTTTGAGAGAGGGGAATGAAAGGGGAGGGGTGGGGAGGGAGGAAAAGATGGGGGGCAGTGAGAAGAAGGGAGGGGAATGAGGAGGATGGAAGAACAGAGGATGCAAAGGGGATATTAGGAAAAGGTAGGGAGGAGGCAGAGAGAGATGGATAGAGAGAGGGAGGGAAGAAGGGAGAGGAAGAGAAGAGTGAGCAACAGAGAGAGAGAGAGATCGGAGAAATACAGGACAAGGGACAAACAATAGGGCAATAGCTAAAAAGACCCACAGAGGCAGAAAGAGGCTGGGAGAGGAAGTGAGACAAGCACACCAAAGAGATGTTGAGATGGATTGAAACAGAGCCAGAGTGAAGAGAGACAGAGATAAGGATATATGGGTGGACATGAAGAGGACAGAGAAAAGCAAAATGGACCAGATGGTGTGAGAGACCCAGAAATAGGTGGGGGGGGGGACCCTGATACATGCATGCAGCAAGGTTCCAGCCTCCCCTGATTCCAATGAACCCCACCTCTCTGGACCCAGGAGAAGTCCCACCCGAACAGCGAGTTCCACCACCAGAACCTCATCAACACCGTACTCTCTCTCTTCTTTGCGGGCACAGAGACCACCAGCACCACTCTCCGCTATGGATTCCTGCTAATGCTCAAATATCCCCACATCGCAGGTAGGCAGAGTGGGGACAGCCAATCTGGGTAGTCCTCCGATCCCTTTTTGGCCGCAGAATCGGGGTAGGGGTCCTGCCTAAATGAGAGAGGCAGCATTTCCCTCTGAAATTAGGAACACTGCAGGTTTTAATGAACTGGCAACCAAGCCAGCCCTGTTGGATGGATGGATAAAGAATCTGTCAATCTGTTCTCCTGTTTTCACTGATCACTTAAAAATTCACTTATCCATCCATCCATCCATCCATCCATCCACCCACCCACCCATCCATTCATCTGTCTGTGCTTTAATCCATTAATTGGTCTGTATACTTAGATTCCTTTATCTATGATTTGCCCAAGAACATACACTTTCATTCTTTATTTGGATTAATTGATTCACCTATGTGTTGAACCTTTGAAACAATGGTTAATTGAATGAACTATGTGTCGTGATTCATTGGCTCACTCATTCATTCATGCATGCATCCATCTGTTCTTCTATGAACTAGGTTTCATTTCTTAATCCTTCCATCAGTCTTTCAATTCATCCTTAACTCTTCTATCCCTTCATTTATTAATTACACAATCAATTCACTGATTCATCTTTCATTTATTCATCTGTCATCAAACCATCATCCATTTATCACTTTTTCTACTAATTTATTCATTCACTTATTCCTCCATAAATCTAGCCATCCATTTATTCAGGTAATTTATTGGTTGATTAGGTTTATTTATTTATTTGTCTATTGGTAATTATTCATCTATTGATTGATAAGTAAATACATGCAGCCATTAAATAATGTTCTTCCATCCATCAGTCTTTTTATTTATGAACTAGAGGCCCAGTGCACAAAATTTGTGCAGGGGGGGAGTCCCTCAGCCCAGCCTGTGCCCTCTTGCAGTCCAGGAGCCCCTGGGGGATGTCCAACTGCCAAGGAGGCAGGAGAGGCTCCCGCTGCTGCTGCACTCGCCAGCCATGAGCCCGGCTTCTGTCTGAGCAGCATTCCCCCTATGGGAGCACACTGACCACCAGAGAAAGCTCCTGCATTGAGCATCTGCCCCCTGGTGGTCATTGTGCATCATAGTGACCAGTCATTCTGCCGTTTGGTCAATTTGTATATTAGCCTTTTGTTATATAGGATTGGTTGATTGATATATTCATTTATTTACCCAATTATTCATGGGTTAATCTGTTGATCTATTTCACTGTCATATTCCTGAGGACCTAGCACAATATGTGCCTCATTTACAATACACACAATAAATATTAGTTTATTTCCCACTCATCTTAGAGAAGAAATTTTGACAGGTGCAGAGCCTCAAGTTCTCAATCTGATATGTGATGTGTGTGTGTGCACACACATGTGCATGTGTGTTTCCCTGTGCATGTGGGGGAAAGAATCTATAACATTCATTAGATTTCAAAAAGTGAGAATTCTTCTAGCTTCCCCTTTGCTCCCCCACCCCAAGCTGATTGTTTTGAGGAGTGTCAATGATTTAACACTTTACTGTAAGTTTTTTTAAATTATTATTATTATTTTATTGATTTCAGAGAGGAAGGGAAAGGGAGAGATAGAAACATCAATGATGAGAGAGAATCATTGATTGGCTGCCTCCTGCACTACACACCCCCTACTAGGGATCGAGCCCGCAACCCAGAGCATGTGCCCTTGACAGGAATTAAACTAGGGACCTTTCAGTCCACAGGCCAATGCTCTATCCACTGAGCCAAATCAGCTAGGGCCTATAAGTTTTTCCTGACTCATTGGCCCATAGAAAGCAGTGTCCCTACTGAAATGTCCATTATTATTATTATTATTATTATTATTATTATTATTATTAAATACATTTTTATTGATTTCAGAGAGGAAGGGAGAAGGAGAGAGAGAGACAGAAACATCAATGATGAGAGAGAATCATTGATCGGCTGTCTCCTGCATATCTCTCACTGGGGATTGTGCCTGCAACCCGGCATATGCTCTAACTAGGAATTGAACCATGACCCCCTGGTTCATAGGTCGACGCTCAACCACTGAGCTATGCCGGCCAGGCTGAAATGTTCCTTTAAACAAGGTTCTCTTCTATGCAGAGAAAGTCCACAAGGAGATTGATCAGGTGATTGGCTCACATCGCCCTCCAGCCCTTGATGACCGGGCCAAAATGCCATACACTGACGCAGTCATCCACGAGATTCAGAGATTCGGAGACCTGATCCCTATTGGTGTGCCCCACGTGGTCATCAAAGACACTAAATTCCGAGGGTACATCATCCCAAAGGTGAGACCAGCCAGGCAACCACATCTCTCCTGTGTGGGATCCTGGGTTCTCTGAATCTCCAAACTTGACCTCTTGTTTTATCACTAGGGCTTCTTGTTTCATCACTAGGGCTTCTTGTTTCATGTTGTGTTTTCAGGGTGGGGTGGTGAAGGGAATGACAATATTTTGTATCTTGTGATCATTCCTCAGGACACTGAAGTATATCCCATCCTGAACTCTGCTCTCTTTGACTCACGTTACTTTGACACACCAGACACCTTCAACCCTAACCACTTTCTGGATGCCAATGGGGAACTGAAGAAGAATGAAGCTTTTATACCCTTCTCCCTAGGTAAGCTGGATCTGCACTCGCTTCCCAGACACCAGAGTGCAGGTGTCTTCACCTCCTTGAGACATCAAGGAGAGGCTTTTGTTTATTGAGCAGTTAGTACATGCCAGCTGCTTTACCTTCATTATCCCATCCCATATGCACTACAACCCTAGAAGAGGTTTAAAAGGTGAGATCACAGCCCAGTGGCACACCTTGGTATGCTGGACCTTGGGAAAGTATGTTAACCTCTCTATATCTCGGTATAAGATATCTGTTGAGCAGTGTACTCTGAGCCCAGTGCTTTACTAGGGGCTGAAGATAATGCATCAGACAAGTCACGTAGACAGAGAAACATTATCTGTCAGGATGTGAAGACAGAAAACAAAACAAAACAGCTAGCTGCCATGGGCAGAAAGAAAGACAAACTTAACCAAAGAGGTGTTAGAGACAAATGTCTACTGAAGGGTCCAAAGGACAGCCCAAGGATGGAAAGACAGAGTGGGAGGGAGATAACAGGCTCTTCTAGAATGAGGTGGGTCATGGAGCCAGTTACAGGAGAGGAACCATGCCAGAGCCCTGTCCTGAAGATTTTTTGCTCATGTGTCCTAACTTCTAGGTGTGCCAAAAATGTGAACCCTTCCCCAGATACCTCCACACAGGCACAATGTCCAACAACTTGAAAGGTTTAGGTAATGCCTGGAAACCCATCCTTGAAATGGCCTTTTCAAGGTGGTCAGCTTGCAGATTAGGAACCAATGAATTAATGGAGGAGACTCTTGGTGTCTGCCTGACCTTTCTGGATCCCTTTACCCTCATTTCTCTCCAAGCCAGTGGTTTATAACCTATTGGGGGGGGGGGGTGTACACTTCTGAGAATCTGATGGAAGCCATACACCTACCTCACATACATAAATCCCATTCACAAGTTTATGTACAATATGGGGTTTTTTTCCTTAAAACTGAGATAAGAAACAAAACAGAGATAAGAAAGGAATCAGAAACATACTCAAAGAAACAAAGAACAAAATGATGGTTACCAGAGGCAAGGAGGCTTGGGGGACTGGGTGAAAATGTGAAGGGAGTTAGAAGTACAAATTGGTAGTTACAGAATATTCACGGGGATGTAAAGTACGGTTTATGGAATATAGTCAATAATATTGAAATACCTATGTATGGTGTCAGCTGTATAGTAGACTCATAGTGCTGTACACTTGAAACTAATATAAAAGAATATTGAATGCCAACTGTAAATGAAAATAAATAAATAAATAAAACAACCCAGAGATAGAAAATCACATGCAGTGCCAGGCATTCACCCCACAGTCTCCACCACACATACCTGAAAAAACACACCAAGTACCATCTACACCTATAGGATCCTTAGTGTGAACCAGAAGCTCTTTGAATAATTCTTTCATTTTGTTAATCCTCACCTGAGGTTATTTTTTCCATTGATTTTCAGAGAGAGTGCAAGGGAGGGGGGGAGGGAGGGAGAGGGAGAGAAAGAGAGAGAGAGAGAGAAACATCAATGTGAAAGAGACACATTGATTGGTTGCCTCCCGCACGTGCCCTGACTGCAACCCAGGTTTATGCCCTTGACAAGGAATCAAATCCTGGACCCTTCAGTGTGCAGGCCAACACTCTAATCACCGAGCCACACCAGCCAGAGCTTTTCTAAAAATTTTTACAAATATTAACAATTCTCCAAATGTTGTCGGAACTATGCCCACATCTACACATGTGGAGGTGCGCATGCACACACATACACACATACAACCCAATGATAGTCCTTAGACTCTGTGAGGTCAACCGAACCTTTGGAAATCTAACAGAAGCTACAATCTTCCCTGGAAAGATATACATCAAAGATTTGCACCTGGTTTTAGAGGTTTGGGGACACCCTAAAAGTTTACCCTGAATTGCAAGTGAAAGGCTAGTCCCATCCAAACCAGTTGCAATGGACACAGGTGCCTGGACTTTGGGCAAAGAATATGCATCCAGCCCAGCAGGTGGCTGAGCATTGACCTATGAACCAGGAGGTCACGGTTTGATTCCTGGTCAGGGCACATGCCCAGGTTGTGGGCTTGATCCCCAGTAGGGGCTGTGCAGGAGGCAGCTGATCAATGATTCTCTCTCATCATTGATGTTTCTATCTATCTCTCCTCTCCCTTCCTCCTTCCTCTATTTGAAATCAATAAAAATATATTTTAAACACACACACACACACACACACACACACACACACACACGAATATGCATCCACTCCAGGTCCACATTGTTGATCTTCTGTGCCCACAGGGAAGCGCATTTGTCTCGGCGAAGGTATCGCCCGTGCGGAATTATTCCTCTTCTTCACCACCATCCTCCAGAATTTCTCCGTGGCCAGTCCCGTGGCCCCTGAGGATATTGACCTCACACCCCGGGAGTGTGGAGTGGGCAAGCTGCCCCCAGTGTACCAGATCCGATTCCTGTCCCGCTGAGGGGGTTGAAGGAAGGAGATCAAAGGATCCCAGGGTCATGAAGTATTCCCACCTCTGCAGGGATGTTGCCTGACTCTACCCATGTTCTGCATCTGAGAGATCTGCTACAAGCCAGTCTCCTTCTTCCTCCTTGGTTGCCACCTCCACGAGAATGTCCATTCTGCTGTCTGCCTCCTTCCATCATGCTGCAGCTCTTCTAAAGACTCAAGGAGGTGTTCTCCTTTCCTCTGTTAATAGAATTCCAGAAGTGGTGTATATATAGAAATTGGAGGCTGAAAGGGAAAACTCAGCTGAGGATCTCTCTGCAGTTCTGCCTCCTAGGCCACTGCTTACCCTGAGTGACTTCTCCCTTCCTTAGAACAACCACAGCCTCCATGTAACAACTCCTTGTGCTCCATACATGATCTTGCTTGAACATTACTCCCAGTAGCCCCATGTGGTGGGTACAATGATCATGTCCATTGTACAGATGAGTACACAGAGGCGGGGCAATGGCATCAGTTGTCTGAGGTCACATGGGTAGTGAGTGCAGGTGCAAGACTCACACTCAGTCTCTGTCTCTAGAACTCAAACTCTCTATCAAAGCTCCTCCCACCCATATATTTTTAAATTAATCTGAAACTCAGAGACAAAAAAATCAACCATTTTTACTAGTGTAATTTAGTGCTTTCTGGATTTGCCTCTTCTGCATAATTCATATAGTGAAATCACATAATATGTGGCCTTTTGTGAATGGCTTCTTTCACTTAGCATGATATTTTTGAGGTTCATCCACATTGTAGACTGTAGTTGTGCCCTGCCATTGTCCAGCTGTCTCCTCATTTTACTGCCTTTCCCTTTCCTTTTCAATATAAAAGGGCCTCCTCAGCCCAGGGCCTCCTGACCTGTGTGGTTATAAACTGGTGCCTTGGATTCCCCGATATACCTCTTCAAATGCACTGAGACTCAAATAAACATCCAAAACCTGACACCTCCAGGTCAGGTGGTGATCCATGCCACTTTATGTGTGACTCATTTATTTTCAGGGCACTAGGAATATTTCCAGAAGGTGAAAATTTCTACTTCACCTCAATGCCAGCTCCATGAAGGCAAACCCGTGGTCTTGTTCATCACTGTTCTCTCAGCACAAAGAACCCTGTATGGCATATGACAGGTGTTAAAAATATTTGCTCATAAATGAATGAATGAATGAATGAATAGCTCAGACAATCCTCCAAAGTACCAACATGGAGCTAATTCCCCGCCCCCCTCAGATCACATGTCCTCCAATCTCACTTTGTTCTGATGTCTCTAACATGTCCCTGTCCCAGTGGCACAAGATGCTCCAATTTTGGACCTGCCAGCTATACTCATCCCTCAGATGCAATTCTACCCTCTGACAAAATGGGCCGAGAGCCACACTCGCAGTGCAAAAACCATGAAACAGCTTTCACCTGAATTTGAACCCAGACAGTTTGGACCCAGAGCTCAGACCTTATCACCTGTTCCACCAGCTGGCATACCACCCTTTCTTGAGGGAGGTGCTCTTCATTCAAGGACACTCCCCACCAAGATACCTCAGGCCATCCATGGGAAGGAAGCTTTGGGATCCAATCAAGATGCTAGACTTCTTGGCCTCTGCAACACCTGCCACCTTTGGGTTCCCTGTTGCCTCTGGTGAGTTACAAGGAGTTCTGTCAAGGTAAATTTCTGGCATACCCTCTCCCACTAAGCACAGAAAAACAACACACAGGGCAACCTACCTTTTAAGAGAAACAGCGGAATGGAAGGCAGACAGCAAGGAGCATGGCGTTCTGGACTGGCCTGCTCCTCATCATCCTTATAGTCCTCTTGCTAATCTGGGGCCACCACACCTCCTGGGGCCACCTCCCTCCTGGACCCCGGCCTCTGCCCTTCCTGGGGAACATTTTGCAAATAGACCACAAGTGCCTCTCAAGTCCTTCCAGGCAGTGAGATGCGGAGGGGTGGACAGGAGGAGCTCACAGGCAGCAAGGCAATTGGGGGTCAATTTTAGGATGGGACTTCTCAGGCAATCCTGGGGGTTGGTTTCTTTCAGCCACAATCTGGCCAAGATGCTCACTAGAGAAGCTTCTGGAATTCCTGAGTAGGAATGTAGAAAAGGGAGACTGGAGGGAGAAGTTCTGACAGACTGGAGACTTTGAGCTGTGGTCCTGATTTGGGACGGACTAGAGCTCAGATGTGGGGAGCCTCTGCAATTCCTCAAATAGAAGCTGGGAGGGTTTGGAAAAGCCGAGAGAGGAGGACACTTGGGGTGAGGGCTGCATGGGAGGGTTGGGGGCCATGGAAGGCAAGTGTGCCTTCTTCCCAACGGGGCTGCAGCCAGCCAGGTCTAGGCTACACTGGAAGTATGATGTGGGTGTGAAGATGGAGACACTTCTCTTGAGTTAGGGAGTGAGATCTTGACCCTGCCCACACAGCTGCAGGAGAAATATGGTGATGTCTTCATGGTCTACCTGGGGCCCTGGCCTGTCATCATCCTGTGTGGGTACGAGGTGCTGAAGGAGGCTCTGGTGGAACAGGCTGAGGCTTTCTCTGGCCGAGGGCACATTGCTATTGTTGACCCCATCTTCCAGGGTATTGGTGAGTGGGGATGGGTGGGGCCTGGGGAGAGGACAAGGGAATATTCTATGCATCCTAAAACCTTCCCTTCATGCACCATCAATCAGGTGTGGTTCTCGCCAGTGGAAAGTCTTGGAAGACCCTTAGGCGATTCTCTCTAACCACCATGAGGGATTTGGGGATGGGGAAGCAGAGCATTGAGAAGCTAATTCAGAATGAGACTCAGCATCTGGTGGAGGAGCTGAGGAAATTCCAGGGTAAGCACTGGTCAGGACAGGGGGTGGAGGGACAGACAGAGGTGGGTGAGATGGGAACACAGAGGGAGGAGAGAACACGACTGATGGAGAAGGATCCAGACACAGCCACAGAGAGGTGCAGGAACAGGTTTAGAGACAGAGAAAGAGAATAAGAATGAGAAAGACAAAGAGAGACAGAGACCGGGAATGAGAGAGGGAGAGTAAGAGAAAGCAGAGGAGAGAGAGAGAAAGAAAGCAAGAGAGAAAACCTGAGTATGCTGAGAAAGATCAATCTAGAATCAGACACTGCAAGGAAAAGCCCTAGAAAGAAAAAGGTAAGGATAGAAATCGAGTCTGGGACACTCAGTGTCAGTGAGGCCAAGGACAAGGAACACTGGAGGCACTGAAAAGGGAAATCATGGAGAAGGGGCTTGGTCTCAAAGGAGAGTCAGAGAGAAGACCAGAGACAGACACAGAAAGTCAGATGAAGAGACCAAGAAAAACAAGAGTCACAGAGGGAAAATTCTCAGAAAAAAAGCTGAGATGTAGAGGCCAGTGAAAGACAAGCTAAACCAGAGAAGTAGAAAACACACACACACACACACACACACACACACACACACACACTCACAAACAACAACAATCACACATACTAAGAGAGTACCAGCCAGGCCAGAGCCACCCAGAAGAGAACCACTCATGACAGATCTCTCATCCTCAGGGCCCTATCTGGATCCCAACTCCCTCTTTAACTCCATCATAGCCAACATCATCTGCTCCATTGTCTTGGTTTGTTTTTATATGAAAATCCTTACTGTTGATGCATGCATGAGTGCTTATCATCGAATCAGAGTGTGCAGCAAACCCCCCACCCCTCTCCAGCAGCTCCATCGTTTTTGGAGAGCGCTTTAATTACCAGGACCCTAGATTCTTACAGCTGCTAAATTTACTGAATGAAGTCTTCACCATTATCAGCTCTTTGTACAGCCAGGTAAGGCCAAAGATTCCATGGTGGCCAGGAATTGAGGTGAGTGGACCTTGGCAAGGGATCCGATGATTTCTGTCCTGAGCAGCAAAACAAGACTGCATCAGAGGTTGGTGTTCTGTGCACACACTTCATCCCCTGCACCCTGCCAGGTGAGGCATTGAGTCTGACTGGGGATAGCAATCAGGCCTTCTACAAGGGTAGACTCTGAAAGAGGAAATCTTGGCAACTGTAAGAGTGACTGGGGAAGGGTATAGCTGTTCCATAGCAGAGAAGGTATTGTCTCTTCAGCTGGGAGGCACATTCTCCAAGCCCACGGGGTGAAAGGTGCCCTTCAGATGCAGCTGTGTGTGCAGTCACAACTGCAACACCCACAGCACCAACCTAGAGACTAGAACAGGTTCTGGCTTTCCTGTAGATGTTTGAATTTTTCTCTGGCATCTTGAAACACTTCCCTGGCACCCACACTCGCTTGTCTAGTCTCATTCAAGAAGTGGAAGATTTTGTCACTGAGGTCATTGAGATGCACTGGAAAACGCTGGACCCCAGTGCTCCAGAGGACTCATTGATTCCTTCCTGCTCCTCATGGACAAGGCAAGGACTCTGCTGGATTGGGTGTGGGTAGGCAGGAAAGAGAGTGATGGACACACTACTGACACTGAGCTTGTGTGTTAAAGTATGATGTTTGTGTTTTTTTTTTAAATATATTTTATTGATTTTTTACAGAGAGGAAGGGAGAGAGATAGAGAGCTAGAAACATCGATGAGAGAGAAACATCGATCAGCTGCCTCCTGCACACCCCCCACTGGGGATGTGCCCGCAACCCAGGTACATGCCCTTGACCGGAATCGAACCTGGGACCCTTCAGTCCGCAGGCTGACGCTCCATCCACTGAGCCAAACCGGTTTCGGCTGTTTGTGTTTTTTAAATACTGTATTGAAATACTTCCCTAATATTTGTAAGAAAGCCACTGCTCACCCAATCCTCTGCTCCCCACACCCCATTTTTTCTTGAGCCTCTCTAGATTCCCCTCCATGAATGCCTGTTAGGAGGTAGCAACTAAAGAATTAATATCTGGCCCAGCAAAGGACCTTTTTTTAAAAAAATTTATTTTATTGTTTAAAGTATTACAAATAGTAGTACATATGTCTCCCCCCTCCCCCCCCCCACTGCAAAGGACCTTTAAGACTCTGCTCTCCCACCCTCATTTTGATTGGTCAGAGACCCATTTGTGTTTTTTGTTTTTTTAAACTCACTTGAGGATATTTTTTCCATTGATTTTTTTTTTATAGAGAGTGGAGGGAAAGGAGAGGCGGCAGGGAGAGAAACATTGATTGGTTGCCTCCTGCATTTGCCCTTAACTGGAAATAGAACCTGAGACCCTTCGGTCCTTGGGCTGACACTCTAACCCCTGAGCCAGACTGGCCAGGGCCCCAGTTGTGTTTTGATTAGTCAGAGGCCCATCTCCCTTTGATTGTTCATAGACCTACGTTTGTTCTGATTGGTTTGAGGCCCATGTCAGTTCTGATTATTTGGAGGCAGGTGTTCTTCTAACTGGTCTAATGCCAGACAGGTTATTAAATATTTTCCATATCACCCATATAATGGTAGCTGCAAGGGCCAGTCAGGACAGCAAAGATACCCAAGGACAGAGAAGATAACAACAACAACAAAATATTAATCCCTAACATTTATTGAGCACTTACGTACATAATATCAAAACAACCCCAGATGATAAACTAGGGTTCATAGAGGTCAGTTTCTTGCTCAATGACACATAGTTAATAAATGGTAGGACCTGTGTTTGAACCCTGGTAGTCTAGCTCCAGAACCAACCCTTCTTCTATATTGTTGGCCTTGAATAGAGAAAAAAAGAAAATAAGAATAGAAAAACTGGCATAGAGTAACATGGGGTTGGGCAAGTAGAATAGATCCAGAAACTGGAAATCTTTGCAAGGGGTGATGTTAAGAATTCCCCATCACTGTCCCAGGAGAGCTCTGACCCCGAGCGTGAGTTCCACCATAAGAGTCTTCTCCTCACGGTGGTCCAGCTGTCTTTGCTGGTACGGACATCTCCAGCACCACCCTCCGCTGTGCCCTTCTACTCCTTCTTAAGAACCCCGATGTCTTAGGTAAGCTGGGCTTAGCATGGGAGGGTGCCAGGGTGGGTGAGCATCTCTGCAGCCAAACTGGAAGTTGGTTAGGTGATGGGTGAAGACAGACAGCTTCTGTCCTGAGATCAGTGTGAAAAATATAAAGTCTACCCCTGTAAGTATTTGCAACTTACACTAAAGCTTTGCTGCTGACAAAGCTCTTTGAAGTTGAGGAGGTACTTACAGTTTACAAAATATTTTTTTATTTAATGAAGCACCCTATGTTTTAGAAGGTACTTTTTCCTTTGCAAAAACACTTGGGTGATTATAAGGTGCTTTATGCTGATCCAGGCACAAAGCATAATCATTCACAGAGCATTTTTTTCTTTAATCAAATGTGTTATTTATTTATTTATTTATTTATTTATTTATTTATTATTTTATCCATTATCATTTATCCCCTCTTCCACCTCCACCCACCAGCCTGCCCCATCTGCTATCAACACACTGTTGTCCATGTCCATGAGTTCTCTCTCTTTTTTCCCCCTTTTTTGCTTAATCCCTCCACCCTGCTAACACCACTACCACCAGAGCTATCTGCCTGTTAGAGAGCATTTTTTTAGTCTATGAAACACATGGCTTTTGACAGAAACACTGAGGTTGGCAAAGAACTTGATTATTTGTAACTTATTGCTGATTTACAATTAATTAAACATCCCTTGATTGAATCTCATGCTGATGGTCTGCAGATCAGACTTGGAGAAACTCTCATCTCATCAAACCCCTTTATTTTACAGGTAAGAAATTTAAGGCCCAGAGTGGGGAAGTGACTTATATAGGAGCACATACTAAATCAGTGGAACAGCAGGATATGATTTCAGTTCCAGCCAGAACTCATTTTCAGTTAAAAAAAAAAAAAAAGGCGGACCTTAGTGTTGAATGAATTTCTATCTACCTATCATTACCCAAGTTATGAAATATCAGGCAGGACTTCTCCACAAAGAAGTCATTGATTTCTCTCTTGATGCGTTCATTAAGAAGGGACAATTACCCCACAGCTTAGTAAGTAGTTCAAAAGGCCTTCCCAAGAGCCTGCAGGTCATTTATAGGTAACTTTTTTGAGCACATTGTTATGGACCTTTGGGGGGAGGAAATATTTCCCTCTACTCCTTTAGGTTCCTTTGGCTCATCTAATAATTAACTTTACACGAGACATAGTCACAAGAGAACATGACCAAATTTAATTACATACATATGCATGGGGCCCCCACATACATGAGAGTTTCAGAGACGGAAAATAAAATGACATGTATATGTCATCCTGAGCTAAAGAATATGGTAAGTGACCTGGGTCTTCAGAGGAGAGGAAGATAATTCATAGGTTGATAAAAAGAGCAGATTTTTAGTAATTAGGTATTTTCCCTGCTATACAGATAGGTCATAAAAAGTGATCTCTGGTAATAACACATTATGGGCAAGCCCCTAATTTAAATTCTTCTAGGAAGTTAAGGGAGAAGGAAGGTAGAAGTCTCTCCTGAGCCTGCAGGGTCTCTATTGTCTTTAGGTCAAAATAATCTACATACCAAAGTAGCATATTTTGGGGAGGCTGGTCTGAACCCCTTCAGTCCCGCCTTTGAAACTTTCTGAAAAGTTTCACATTCCAGAAGTTGGGCCAATAGATTGCTCCATCTCATCGAACCAATCTCTTAGTTCTGAGAGCAGATGAGTTTAGTTAAATAGTTGTATCTCAGTTCAGAAAGTGGTGAGGTGGCCCCCCAAAGTTAGGTTCTATGGTACAAGAAATAAGGTATTTTATAAGAGGCATCTCTGTGGAGAAAAACAAAAATAATAATTAATGATTGGAGAAGACTGTAATCTCAGGTTCTGCGTTCTGAAGGCCATCAGTCAAGCAGAGTTCCAGATCTCGGCTCACGTCCTCTTCAGCTGGGATAAAGGCAGGCAGGGACTCTGACAGATTTCCCTGGTCTGCAGTTTGAATGTCTGTTATCTTTCTGAGTGGCTGTCCAACAGGCACAAAGATTGCCCATTCAAGGGCTACTGTGGTGATTTCCCTCAGTTAATATGAAGTCATTTAGCTTTAGTTTGCAGGACTTCAGGAAAAAGAGAATTTTAGTTCATAATGATTCCAAGTCAGAAAAGTGAGAGAAAAATTGGAAATATTAATTCAGAAAATCATAGTAGGTATTGGAGGACACTAGAATTCAGGGTCTAGTCCATTTTACAGTTAGAAAAGAAAACCTCAAAAGATAACAGATAGCAGTAGAATTTGATATCCCCAAAGGCATGTTACTGAAACATCATTTTTCTCTCTAAAATCACCCCTATTTTTACCAAAAATAGCCAAATTCAGGATAATTTGTTTGTAAAATAAATCTAGTTTTAATGAGGTTGGCCTGTTCTTTACACAGGTGTAGCAAGAATAATCAACATCTATAGTTTCTTTTGAATGTGTCTTGTTAGAAACTTTCACAAGGAATCTTCAGATTGACTTTTAAAGGTCTCTTGAGACCAGGAAAGTCAAGCAAGGACTTGCCATCAGACTCTGCAGTGCCTATAGATTTGGGTAAATCCCTCTCTTTTCAAGGTCCCCAAAATATCCCGAGGTTCCTGTGCCTGCCACAGGGCAGGACCTTTCTTACTCATCTGGTAAGACTGCTGGGAAGCCTGTAAGAAAGGTACTAGGCTGAATTTTCCAAGTAGGCTTTATTGGCTTCCATAAATCAATCTTAGTTCCTTAGAGCTGTATTTATATCTGAGTCTATGCCTGTCTCTCTCAAATATGACATTTCAGTCAAAGGCTTGAATAATATAGCCAGTAGAGAGAAAAAGATAAATGTTTCAATTCTGCGTACAAAGGTATAATTTACCAAATTGCACTACGTCATAGGTAGCTTAGGAGAAAAACAGTTCTTATATCTGGAAATTGAATAAATTAAGCAGAACTATTTCAAAGAAAAGTCATAACAGTTTTAATTATAATTTTTCCTTTTAAAAAATTTTAATGGAATTTATTGGAGGTGACACTGGTTTCAAGTGTAAAATTCTATAATACATCATCTGTATATTGTATTGTGTGTTCACCATCCAAAGTCAAGCCTCCTTCTGTCACCATTTATATCCCCTTTTTACCGTATACTCCCTCCACCCCCTTTCCTCTGGTAATCACCATACTGTTGTCCATGAGGTTTTGTTTTGTTTTTGTTTTTGCTTGATCCCTTCAGTTTTTTACCCAGTCACCAACTCCTCTCCCCTCTGATAGCAGTCATTCTGTTCTCTCTATCTATGATATTGTTTTTCTTTTGTTTGTTTATTTTGTTCATTAGATTCCATTATCTTCATTAGTTAATTTAGTCCCATGTAATTAATTATTGTTGATCTTTTATTAGCAGTTTTATGAAGCCATCAGTTTCTTCATTAGAGTTCTGCAAATTCTTATCCTGTTCAATGGTATGATATAAAAGTTTATCAGAACCCTGTATTCTAGAGTAATACCAGAATCTTTTCCAAGAATTGCTCTGAAGATGAAACATATTTGTGAAAGCATCAAAGTAAGACAATAACTGTAAATGACAAAAATACTTATTTGCTCTTAACAATTATATTCTACATGGTTAAGATCTCATGAGAGTACAGTGAAATTGACAAGGAAATTTGCTTATTTCTGTAACACACAACTTTCTAAGATAATAACTAGTATTATTAGTAACAGCCTTGTACCAAGATATATCAGAATTTAAAAATTTTTATACAATTTCTAGAACACATTAATACCCACAGAAATGTAATCTAAGGAGGTTAACATCATTTATTTGACAATGCTATCCATGTAACATATGTCCTTGTATATGGAGAGAGAACAAATCTTTGAGATATCTCAGGGACTCTATGACAAAGTCCAAAGTTAGCTAGAGGTCTAAAGGACTTCATTTAGAATTTAATTTGGGGAAGTTTGTCAGATATATCAAAGAGGTTGTAAAACACTTGACTCACTAGGATCATAGGTCATTATGAAACAACTAGAGGCCTGATGCACGAAATTCATGCAAGGGTAGGCCCTCACAGCCCCAGCTGCTACCTTGGCCCTCGCAACCCTGGCTTCGTCCGGAAGGTCATCTGGACGGTTGTTCTGCTGTTTGGTCTAATTAGCATATTAGCTCTTTATTATATAGGATACTTAATTACTCATTTAACCATACCAACTATAAAAGATTTCAAAGACAAATACAGAAGGTCATTTAGTCGGGAGCAAAATTTAGCTCTTTTAATATTAACAAGACTAGGTTTACTTAAAGACCTGCTGATAAAGAGCACAGAAAATCATATTAATAAAAAAATATTGCCTTCCTTTTATAATCTCATATCAGGGGCATACTAGTACAGGAAAACTTTTCCTTTTGGCAGGTAAAAGAAATATTAACTTTCAGTTTCATATAAGTACATTATTGACACTACAGCTCATTTTGAAAAACCCCTATAGATTAAGAATTGGTAGTTATAAAATAGTCATGGGGGTGTAAAGTACAGCATAGGGAATATAGTCAATAATATTATAATAGCTATGTATGGTGTCAGAGGGGTACTAGACTTATTGAGGTGATCATTTTGTAAATTATATGAATGTCTGACATCTATACTGTAGACTTGAAACTAATATAAAATAATATTGAATGTCAACTGCAATTCAAAAATAACTTGCACGCTTGCTCTCAGGAGCACCCTTGTGGCTCCCCCCTCTTCATTTTCCCCCAAGCGTTACCTTTGCCTTTCTCTCTCCTAAGCTCCAAGGACCCTCCTTTTGCTTCTGTAACTTATTTCCTGAGCCCACACAGTTCAGCTGGCTTACTTCCTAAATAAACTTTCTCTTATAATTTGAAAATAAATAAAGAAAAATACTTTTAAAACCCTGTAATAACAATTCAGCTTTAGCCAGTTTAATTCTACAAGGTAAAAGTATCTGTCTCCTCTCACATCCCAACCAGGACAAAGTTACTTTCATTTCCCTTAACTAAAACACATCTCCATACCTCATACGTTTTCAAAGCCAAGACACATCCCACTTCTCTTGTATATAGAGTTGTTTCCCTTTTTCTTATTTGTAGCTTTAATTACATATAGTAGAATTCTTAACCCTTAGAAACCTTAAGTTCTAGTGAAAATTAAATAAATAATTGTAAATTGTCTGCTACTCTAGTATTCTTTAGGTTGGCAAATTATAAACACACTAGAGGCCCGTTGCAGGAAGATTCCTGCAAGAATAGGGCTTACTGTGGCTGGAGGAAAGCAGAGAAGGGAGCAAAACCTGCTGAGGCGGGCTTCGCTCCCGCCCCCAGCTGCTCCAGCTGGGTGGGTTTGCGCAACCCACCCCCAGCCGCTGCTGCTGGGTTTTCCCAACCTGCCCCAACTGCTCCGGCTTGGTGGGTTTTCCCAATCCGCCCCCAGCCACTGCAGCTGGGTGGGTTTGCCCAACCTGCCCACAGCCACTGCTGCTGGGTTTGCCCAACTCGCCCCCAGCCGCTCCATCTTGGTGGGTATGCCCAACCCGCACCCAGCTGCTGCTGCTGGGTTTTTCCATCTGCCCCCAGCCGCTGCAGCTGGGTGGGTTTGCCCAATCCACGCCCAGCTGCTGCAGCTGAGTGGGTTTGCCCAACCCGCCCCCAGCCACTCAGTCATGGTGGGTTAACCCAACCCTCCCCCAGCTGCTCCGTCTTGGTGGGTTTGTCCAACCCGCCCCCATCCGCTCCAGCTTGATGGGTTTGCCCAACCCGCCCCCATCCGCTCCAGCTTTGATGGGTTTGCCCAACCCGCCCCCAGCCGCTGCTGCTGGGTTTTCCCAACCTGCTCCAAGCCTCTCAGTCTTGGTGGGTTTGCCCAACCCGCTCCCAGCCGCTCCGGCTTGGTGGGTTTTCCCAACCCATCCCAGCCGCTGCTGCTGGAATTTCCCAACTTGCCCCCAGCCACTGCAGCTGGGTGGGTTTTCCCAACCCGCCCCCAGCCTCCGTCTTGGTGGGTTTGTCCAACCCGCCCCCAGCCGCTCCGTCTTGGTGGGTTTGTCCAACCCGCCCCCAGCCGCTCCGTCTTGGTGGGTTTGTCCAACCCGCCCCCAGCCGCTCCGTCTTGGTGGGTTTGTCCAACCCGCCCCCAGCCTCTCAGTCTTGGTGGGTTTGTCCAACCCGCCCTGAGCCGCTGCTGCCTGGTTTCCCCTCCCACTCCCAGCAGCTGTGGCTGGGTTTCCCCTCCCGCCTCCTGCCTCTGCAGCCTTGGCTCCTTTACTGTGTCTGCGGCCTCTACTTTGCTCCCTTCTATAGCCCTTGGCTTCCATGTTGTCTCCAGTCTTCGCTCAGAGCCGGTATATGCAAATTAACCGCCATCTTGGCTGACAGTTAATTTGCATATACTCACTGATTAGCCAATGAAAAGGGTAGCGGTCGTACGCTAATTACCATGTTTCTCTTTTATTAGTGTAGATTCCATAATTTCTAGAAATATATACTTTTTCATAGTATAATTTTTCAATGTGGCATGAGGCATGTTTTTTTTTTAGTTTATCTGTAATAAGAAGCCAAAATAGACAGGCTTCTGTTTGGTAATTAATGTTCCATTCTTTTACCTTATTTGGAAGTGATCTGGATATTCAATGAATTTAACCTGACTCATCATTTAACTTAATTAGCAAAATTCTAAGGGTGTAAGTTACTAAAGAGATTTGGAAAACTGTTAAAAGTAGACATATCATAACATTGCTAAAATAAACCTCATCTTACATACATCTACTTAATTTATTTGCTCTTAGCAATTATATTTAGACTACTAATTTTATAAGACATTAATGCAATTAGCCATCACCTTAAGTTATTTTTCTTGATAACATGGATTTATTCAACAACAAAAAACAGGTAGAACAAACGTGTTATATTTTAATTCTGATAACACCAAACACATACCTATCTTAAACTAAAAAAATTACATTAGCTTTAGTACCAAATATTTACCCCAGAGCACATGAACCTGAAAAGTACTTGAGTTAGTTTATATTTTTCAGAAGTTTAATATATGCACTTATTTAAGCCAATTAAGTAGAGCTCTTTTACAAATTAGCAATACCATGTGGAGTAGAAAATACTAAACATATATGTAACATACGTACATTTATAAACATTCATAGACACATATATGCAAACAGAGACCTTACATAGTTTTCATTTTAAAATTTTAGCCATGAGATGGGTATGATAATGTAAAACTTACCAGTTATAAAAGGAAAGTACAGATTATCTGCTCAGATGGTTAGAGATTTTTCTCATTAATATTTGTGAAGACAATTAAGATTCATATTTGTCCTTGACAACTAATCATATGGAAGCTGTGGAGCAGCTTGTATTTTTTTTGAGCCTCTTTTTTTTTTCTTTAGGTTTAGGAATTGGGAATGGGAAAGATAGATAGGTTTTGAATTGTTCCTAGAATTGCATTTCTGACTGGAAAGATTTGTAAAATAAGGAAAATTGATCTCAAGCTCTGAAAAAATTGGGTTGTAACTTAAGTGACATAGGGTTATGTACCCATCAACTACATCAACCTAATTTGCTTCTTTTCCTCTGGGTGCATACTTTCATTTTAGCTTAGGGGAGAAGACCTGAAAACATTCCTCTCAGGCTCTAAAATTAGGCCAATTTTTAAATCATAGAATTATTAAATTTTCAAATATCTTATCGGGTTTCAGCCAGGACAAACAGCAAATGTTTCTGGCAGTATTAAACAATGTCACGGATTCAAGATTATGTAAATCTTCTGAACTTCCAGAGTCCTTCTCTCCAATAGCCCAAAGAACGAGCTGATAGCCTGCATGTCCCAGGCAGTCAGAAAGCCAAGCTTTGGGACAAAGGCAATAGCTATCTTTAGGAGAGCTTTAACTATGACCCTAGATTGGCCTTTGTCCACACAATAATCTCTTTAGAGTAGGAAAGCAATTTAGACAGAGGATTACCTGAATGAATATTCAAAGGAGTATAGAAGGGAGCATTAGGAATTACATCCGTCTTACATTTTAGGTATCCTCTGTATGTAAATTAAAAAAAAATTTAACCCTCATCTGAGGATATGTTTTTATGATTTCTGGAAAGAGAGAAAGGGAGAGAGAGGGAAATATCAATGTGAGAGAAATATCAATTGGTTGCCTCCTATATGATCCCCAACAGAGGATCAAACCTGCAACCTTTTGGTGTACAGGACGACGCTCTAAACCCGTGGTCGGCAAACTGCGGCTCGTGAGCCACATGCGGCTCTTTGGTCCCTTGAATGTGGCTCTTCCTAAGCCTTAGGAGTACCCTAATTAAGTTAATAACAATGTACCTACCTATATAGTTTAAGTTTAAAAATTTTGGCTCTCAAAAGAAATTTCAATCGTTGTACTGTTGATATTGATTCAACAGAAGAAATTTCAACGTTGTACTGTTTCAATCGTTGTACTGTTGATTTTGGCTCTGTTGACTAATGAGTTTGCCGACCACTGCTCTAAACCAACGGAGCCACCTGGCCAAGGTTGTGTCTAAATTTTTTTATTAGCCTATTGCAACAAACCTTTCAAAAAAGCTATTGAAATTTTTTTCTCAAATATAGCCAACTTAAAAGATCTATCATCTGGCCACGATGAGTAAGATTAAAAGCAACTCAAGCAAATAAGCCTTGTTATGGCTTAACCAAGGATGCAAGAAGCATCCCACATAACAGCACAAATAGAAAATACAGCCCTCACAAAATCCAAAAAAGTTTATTCCCAGAACAATCTAAGACAGCAAAAGCCCTTTGTTGCTACAGGCAGTCACTAACAAAGCGAAGAAGCTTGAGATGACAAACCTTTCCTATGACAACTTCCCCTGAGAGCGGGCACAACCAAACTAAGAGACAAAGGGACAGCTGAATCCCCAGTCTATTTATCTGGCTGCCAAATGCACTCCAGTATGGCAGAGTCCTGTTTCTTCTGATCACAAAGTCAAGTTCTCAGGACATAGCACAAGGTGGAAGGAATAACTTCATTTGGCTTTTATGTAGGGGACCCAAGTCAAGTTTGTGTAAACAGATGGCAGTATGGAGAGAACTGTATACCTCCTCCCCAGCCTGTGAGCCTGGCTCAGACAACAGGCTTCGAGGGAGTCTATGTCTGTGTTCTATCCCTGTGGTGTTTCCTTTTTATGAGAAAAGACGTAAGAGACATACACAAAGGAAACAATGACTATCTCTGAGAGGAAAGTATCAAAGAAACCAACCCCAAGTGTTTCCAAGTATAGATGTACATAGGGGTGGTAGTCATAGTACCTAATGAGCCAGTGGGCACCACCCATCAGACTAGATTCTGACCTTTATGCTGGTATCTGGACTTGGAGGCCTTTGCTAAGCTATATGTGAAACGTTTAGTTGATAGATCATGGAAATGTCCAAAAAATCTCGAGGAAGGTGTGTCAGGGTGGTTGGTATCAGGAGGGCTTGGGACAGTTATTAACCACATGGGGCAGAATCATTTCAATATTTCAGTTCCCAACTGTAGAGCTACACAGTAGGTGAAGCTCCTTATCAATTGTGGTACCCTAATGATTCAGCCACTCCTTGGTGGTGGTCATTTGGGGCCCTTGGCTTTGACATCCTCTAGGGCACTACTGTGTACCCCATCATCAACTCTGTCCTCCATGACTCACGGTACTTTGAGAAGCTAGACGTCTTCTACCCTGGCCACTTCCTGGATGTGGAGGGCAACTTCAGGAAGCGGGAGGCCTTCATTGCTTTCTCCATGGGTAAGCCACATCCTTCCCACCCTATAAAAACACTGTTCACCCTTTCTTCTGTGTGTGACTTGCTCCCTTTGTCCAACCCCAAAAGGGATGAACATTTTTGAAAAAGATTAGAATTCTGAAGGAAAGAGAAAGTAAGACTCCCAAGAGACAAAGATGGTCCGAAGGGAAGGACACGGAAGAGGTTGATGGTGGAGAAAAATGGAGACTAAGTCAGTGATGGAGATCAAGTGGAAGACACAGACATACACAGGCACCCACACGAACACACAAGGAACAGACAAATAAATGATCCATTATTGAGTACCTGTTATGTGCCAAGAACTGGGAAAGGCGTGTTCAGTTTTTCTTTCAAAATAAAATATCTTTATTGTTTTTTTCTAATTTTTATATAAATAAGAAAGTAATAAAGTTGAAAGTAAAAATCACCTGTAACTCAGCACCAAGCCAGACTTGTTAATATTACAGAGATGTTTTTCCAAATTTTTTATTGAATATGTGCATGCAGTCCTAGCTGGTTTGGCTCAGTGGATAGAGTGTCAGCTTGCATACTGAAGGGTCCTGGATTTGATTCCAGCCAAGGGTATCTTGGTTGCAGGCTCGATCCCCCGCCCTAATCAAGGCATGTGCAGGAGGCAACCAATCGATGTGTCTCTCTCACATTTATGTTTCTATCTCCCTCCCTTCCACTCTCTCTGAAAAGTCAGTGGAAAAATATCCTCGGGTGAGGATTAATAAATATGTGCATGCACACAAAGGTATGTGATGGTAGATAGATAGTTAGATAGATAATAGAAAAGTAGATGAGAGAAAGGTAAGAGCGGGGAAAGGGAACAGAAGGGAAAGGAAAAGGAGAAAAATTTATTGACTTATTTTTTCATTAGCCAGTTATTAAAATTCAAGCCCTGGAGTATAGTGAGGACCAGGAGTCACTTGGGACATTAAAATTTAAAGAATACTCACTCTCAGGTTTGTACAAGTACCTTGATCCAATCACTTATCAAATAATTCAACTTTCAGCCATTAACTTAAAATTTGTCATATGCTAAAAGGGTAAGTATCCTTATGTCTATTTCTGGTTTGATTACATTAAGTCACTGATCTGTCTTCCTCTTTTAACTATGAGTATACCATAATGTCAGAATTGTTATATCTTTACAGTATGTTTTAATATTTTACAGGGGATTGTCTCCTCCATTACTCTTCTTTTTCAGATAGTCTTGTGGTTTCTGTGACACATTTTTTTCTTTCAAGTGTACTTTAGAATAATTTTTCAAGGTCTCAAAAAATTTCAATAAGATCTTTAGGAATTACATTTCTAGTTTCATTTGTATAGCTTTGACAACTTTACAAATTTAAGATACCTCAGACAAAAATAGTGTGTTCATTAAATCTACTCTTGTATGATTTGGTGGCATCTTGGATTTTTTTTAAACTAGGTTTTGCATATTTCATGCTAAATTTATTCTAAGAAACATGGAAGAAGAGTGTTGCTATTGTTCATAGAACCTCTTTGTACTAGTCAGCTGTGGCTGCCAAAACAAAATGCCACAGACTGAATGGCTTAAACAACAGAAATCTATTTCTCACGGTTCTGGAGGCTGGCAGTCCAAGATCAGGGTGTTAGCATGGCCAGAGTCTGTGAGAGCTCTCTTCCTGGCTCGCCGTTGTCCACCTTCTTGTGTCCTCCCATGGCAGAAAGCTCTGCTGTCTTTTCCTCTTCTTATAAGCACACTAATCCCACCACGGGGGCCCACCCTCACGACCTCATCTAACCTCAATTACCTCCCAAAGGCCCCACCTCCAGGTTAGGGCTTCAATATGTAAATTTTGGGAGGACACAATTCAGTCCATATCACTCTACTAACATAGTATTTTTAGTTGTTTTCATTAGTATTATGTTTTTTGGGGAGATATTTTTTCCATAATTGGACTATTTTATAGTACTTTTACTACTAACAGTTTTTTCACTGTGTCTGCTTAGGGTTCCAGATAATTGGTGTTTAGCTTCTGCAAATGATGACACTTTTAGTCAATTCTTTCTTACATTAAATTCATATGTCACTTTTTCCCTAATATCATGACCTAGCACTTCCAAAATCATGGTAAAGAATAGTAGTAATCATCTATCACCAAGTGAATCTAAAAATCAAGTGAATAAAAAATCTGATGAACAGAGTAAACTGGTGAATATAATAGAGCCAGGGGCATAGAAAGGGAGTGGACTGACAATTCTTGGGGGGAAAGGGTTGTGGGGGTGCAGGAAGAGACTGGACAAAAATCGTACATCTATGGATGAGGACAGTGGGAGGGGTAAGGGCAGAGGGTGGGGTAGGAACTGGGTGGAGGAGAGCTATGGGGGGGAAAAAGAGGAACAACTGTAATAATCTGAACAATAAAGATTTTATTAAAAACAAAAACAAAAAAAACATTTTAAAAAAAAGAATAGTAGTAATGGTGAGCAATCTTATCTAATTCCTAATTATAAGAAGTATATTTTCACTTTTTCCATTAAGCTTAATGCTGACTATGACCTTTTCCAGATATTTGTGGTTATTCTGCCACTTATTTTTTCTCAATTTAAAATTAAATTAAAAAATATATTTTTTCTCTGCATTTTATAACAGGTTCTTTTTTTAAAATATAACTTTATTGGTTTCAGAGAGAAAGGGAGAGGGAAAGAGAGATAGAAACATCAATGATGGGAGAGAATCATTGACTGGCTGCCTCCTGCACAACCCCCACTGGGGATAAAGCCCGCAACCCAGGCATGTGGCCTTGGCTGGAATCGAACCTGGGACCCTTCAGTCCGCAGGCTGATGCTCCATCCACTGAGCCAAACCAGCTAGGGCAACAGGTTCTTTTTAAAAAATTTAAATTAAGATTTGGTGTTGAGTATTCTCAAATATTTTTTCAGCTCCTATCAAGATGGTCAAATTGCTTTTCTCCGAGACTTGTTAAAAAAATAGTAGATGTCTTAATGTCAGATCATACACTGTCTTGTAGAGTGGAGACAAGAGAAGCCCCGGAGGAAGGGGGCGGGCCCAAGGCCCTGCAGAAAGTCATGGCCTGTATTATTCAGGGCAGGCTAGCCTAAGATAAACAGCTTGAATATCTTAGCTGTTTAAAGCAAAAAAGTAATTTTATGCTCATGGAAATGTCCATCCCACTTCCGTAGAAATGGGGGCTACTGAGACTTTATCCTGACACATGCAGAAACTAGAAAAGCAACATAACACATCAGGGTAGCTCTCACTTTAATGGCCAAAACAAGGCCCATCCAAGATCAACAGGGCAGAGATGTTCATACACCCAGAGGTGTGCTGTGAATGTTTATGAACAGTAATGCACTTTACCACACTGCACCGGGCAGCTCTCGGCCCCTCCTTTGGACTGCAGGGCAACAGGATGCAGTCCAAAGTGTGGCCCAGCCCAGGGACATGTTTGTGCTCTCCCTTGGTTATGCCAGTGGACAGCCTGTGCTAACGTCAATAATGGATAATAAAGTCAATAAAAGACTCCTTCTCTATGGGACACTTTGTGAAGTTTGACCCCATCTTTGCAGAGAGATATGAGTGGGGGATATGAGAAGCAGAAATTTAGGGTGATGGTGGGAGGAAGTGCTATTCAAAATGCTTATCAAGCATGATGTGGCCACTGACCAATCAGAATTGCCATTGGTTAGTGCAAGATCTGGGTCTGGGAGGCTTCCCTGTTAGTTGCTGATTGTGAGCAGGTGGGGTACATGCAGAAGGGACCAAGGTGGCCAGACCACTGCACCACTCAGAAGCTTAGAGCAGTGACTGTGCACCAATTGTCAAAGTAGTTCAATATTTTAACAGCCAAGAAGGGTACTGGTGCCCACCTACTGCATATCCATCTAGGAAATTTTCACATTTTCTCATAAATTGGCTTAGTTGGGAACATACTTAATCAGAGACACAGAAAAAGATAGAGACAGCAAACAGAGATCAAGAGAGACAGAGAAGGGCATGGTAGGCGATAGGCTGAGAGGAGGTGGGGACTGAGAGAAACTCATGCATGCACACACACACACACACACACAAACACGGTTGTTATGGTTGTTGGTATTGAGGACAAGAACAGGAGCATATGTAAATCTATGTAAATGAGCATGCAAATGTCTGGGGAGGTGGAGGGTTCCCAGGACTCTCCCAATGACACACTCCCTCTTTACATCCTCAGGAAACCGCTTGTGCTCAGAGCTCTTCCTCTTCTTGACCTCCATACTGAAGAACTTTTCCTTGGGCTCTTCCAAGGCCCCAGACGGTATCGACCTCACTCCACGGAAGAATGGGCTGGGGAGACTGCCCCCTGTGTACCAGCTCTCCTTCCTGCCCCGCTGGGGAGAGAAGGAGAAGGGATATAGTTCCCTTCAGCGTCCTTGCCTCCAGCCTCCACCTGTATCTACAATGAACTTTTAGAGGCCGCCTACTCCTCCCTGCTCACTGTCCCCTCTGGAAAGTACCTTCCTGAGTCTCTCCTTCATCCAGTATGCTAGGCACCATTCATGCCCAATGGTCTGCACTGCTGACCCAGGATAAAACCTTAGGGTTTCTGGGCCAAGAAATACCTTCAGAACCTTAGTGTTACCACCACCTCTAGCTCAGCTTGGGAAACTGAGGCCCAAGTGAGGGAATGATTTAAATCCAAGGTTACCTAGGGTAGCTGAGCAGAATCTGGTGCCCTGCCACTCTACCTTGTCTCCATCTATATCCCCCACTTCCACCCTCCTGTTTCTTCCTTGAGTTGAAAGAGCCAGGGCAGCCCTCAAGTTCTGTGCCGTGTGACTCCAAAATGTGTCTCTTACCTCTCTGATTTTATTCTCCAAAACCAGTGAGACCAAAATAAAGCTCTGCTACTTCTGGGCCAAATGGTTATCTGTGCTGCCTTGTTCTTTTTTATTTATTTTAAGTAAAATTTGCATAACACAAAATTAACTATTAATTTTGAAGTGTACAATTCAATGACATTGAGTAAAATGATAATGTCTTGCAACCATCACCTCTATCTAGTTCTAAAACATTTTCATCACCCCAAAGCTCAGTCCCCATTCTCCCCTCCCTCTAGCCCAGTGGTTCTCAACCTTCCTAATGCCACGATCCTTTAATACAGTTCCTTATGTTGTGGTGACCCCCAACCATAAAATTATTTTCGTTGCTACATCATAACTGTAATTTTGCTACTGTTATGAATTGTAATGTAAATATCTGATATGCTATATGTGTTTTCCGATGGTCGTGACCCACAGGTTGAGAACAGCTGGTCTAGCCCCTGGCAACCACTGATTCACTGAACTTAATTATTCTGGATATTTTTTATAAATGGAATTTGTATACAGTAAGTGACTGTGTCTGGCTTCTTTCACTTAGCATAATGTTTTCAAAGTTCATCCACAATCCGGCATGTGTCATTATTTCATTCCTTTTATGGTTGAACTAGAGGCCTGTTGTATGAAAAGATTCATGCAATAGGCCTTCCCTCCCCCTGGCTGCCGGCACCAGTTTTCCTCCGGCACCCGGGACCCAGGCCTTCGCTCCGGCCGGAGCCGCCTTCAGTCTTCGCTCTGCTGCTTCACACCTATGTATGCAAATTAACCGCCATCTTTGTTGGTGGTTAATTTGCATATCTTGCTGATTGGCCTATGGGAGGCATAGCGAAGGTACGGTCAATTACCATGTTTGTCTATTATTAGATAGGATAATATTCCATTGTATATAAATACCACATTTTTTTATCCCTTCATGAGTTGATTGACAGGTGGGTTGCTTCCACCTAGTGGCTATTGTGAATAGAACTGCCATGAACATTTGTGTCCAGGTGGCCCTGGTTTTGTTTTTCTCCTCTTCTTTATCAGGGTGATGGAAGGTGCTCTTCAGTCTCTTTCAGACCTGAGGTTCTGGAAGGATGGGGCCAGACCACCCCTCTCAGATCCTCTTCACAGGCAGTTTAAAGAGTAAATGACAGAATTGATAAGGTGGCTAAACCAGTGGGACCAAGTATTATTTACCTGGTTGATAAGTAAATACATCCACTCTTCACATTGAGGCTCAGAAGGGTGAAGTCACTGTTTTTCGGTCAGTGACTCAAATCTGAGCATGATGACTTGCCAGGCTGAGCTCCTAGGCACAGGGCAGGAAGAGGGGAGAGGGGTGGCTTTCCCATCAGCCTGTGCCTTGGTTTTTCTCCTGCCCCGTGCTGAGGGGCCCAACCAAGGCGTGTCTGGAGTGAGGTCGTTTCACGGTGAAGGATGGGAGAGATGGATGGTTCCTGGGAGGATGATGTGGGTATGGGGCTGCCAAACAGTCAAAGGAGCCCCCGCCCCTCTCCGGTTGCATCCTCTCTGCCAGGCAGGTGCAGTGTGTGCTGTCTCCAGTGCTCAGGGGAAGGGAGGCTGGGGCTGGGAAGGGAGGAGGGGCTTACTGCATTGTGTAAGAGACTTTGCCTCTTGTAAATAATTTATTACTATAAAGCATAAAGCAATTTATTGTTCCACATTATTAAGCATTTCGTAGTTTAAGGCAGGTAATTTCTCAATTTATAAAATGTGTTGTCCTGAGCAAAAACCTTTTTCTGTTTACATAGTATTCTGCGGTATAAAAGCTCTTTGTTGTTCATAGAACATTTTGTATAAAGATTTTAGATGGTATACAGAATAAGCATTTATAATCACTTTGTGGTTTAACAAAGCATTTCACAACTTACAACACTTTTACTGTTTCCAAACGCCTTAGCAGCATGCATTGTTATAAAGTAATTTCCAATATTATAAAACACACACATATTTTATTAATTCCTTTGTAGTGTTCACAAAGAAGTTGCCATTCACAAGGCCTTTACTTCTCCCTACAGAAAGCATCAAAATAGAACAGTGCTTAATGATGGCATAAGTGTTTCCGAGCCACCTGACGGGAGTTGACAAAATGCCCAGGACTCATTTGATAACTGTTTACTGAGAATCCACGGTGGTCCAGGCAGCATGCTGAGACTGGTAGTTATTTTCTTCCCCACTTGATGTCAGTTCCAATAGGGAGATGTCCTGCCCTATTGAAACTGACATCAAGTGAGGGAGAAAATACTAAACAAGATAATGGCAGACAGTGATAAGTGCCATGGGTAGAGGACAGAGTGGCAATGATAGTGAATAAGAAGGGTTGGTGAACTTATTGAGAGCAAAGGCTTTCATTCACAGAGCAATGCAAGAATGCTTTCCCAAGCAATTGGTTATCTACAATGTGCTTTCCTGTTTAGAAAGCACTTTGGAAGTCATCACCCCACTTGACTCTAAATTAACTTTGGGAGGTGAGTAAACATCATAAACTAGTGTTGCTTCTAAAAGATGTTATCTAGTCCAACCCCACCTATCAGACATTAGGAGAATAAGGTTAAGAAGTGAGATGGATATTCAATGTCTCAAAGGAGAACAATGGACCGGCCAAACTTGGAACCTAGGATTCTAGGCTCCTCCTGCTTGTCACACACCATCACAATCCATGTTCACAGAAAGGAGTTGGAATTGGGGCTAGTATTGTGGGATGGAGCCCTTATACCCGCTGAATCTGATTGCTAACTCCAGGTAGTTAGTCTCAGAATAGAATTGAATTGTAGGATGCCTCATTGGTGTCAGAGAATTGATGGCAAGGCAAACACAGGGGCAATAAGAGTATTGAGGAAAAGATTACCGGGGAGAAAAAGGAGAGAAAGAGGGCTAAAGGAAAGAAAGGACAAGAATAAATGAGACAAAGAAACACAAAAGATGATGAATGAATGATGAATGAATGAACTTTAATGTGCCAGGTAATGTTCTTATAGTAGGCATGTTCTTATATCTCACCTAGAGGGGGTCAAATATATGGTGACAAAAGATGATTTGACTTTGGGTGGTAAGCACACAATGCCACATACAGATCATGATATCATAGAAATGTACACTTGAAACCTATATGATCTTATTAACCAATGTTACCCCAATAAATTTAACTTAAAAATAAAAGTATATCTTATACTTGGATACAGGAAAATTTGTTAGTAAAGACCTGAACCCAAATGAAAACCTCAAGTCTTTCAACCTGGGACCCAAGCTGATGGGGAAGCAGCACCCTGAGGCAAGTTCTTCTCATACAGATGACAGCAGCACAAAAAAGTACCAAAGCTGGGCCACCAAATTCAGAGACTGTTTGCTTCCTGTTGGATAATGAGTCACATTGTCAAGCCCAACATCAATGGGGCTGGGATACAAAAAATGGGAGAAAATGTTTTCAAATCATATTGTAGAAAGGACTAATATACAAAATACACACTTTGTATATTATACCCTAACAGCAAAAAAACAAATAATCCAATTAAAAATGGGCAGAGGATCTTAACGGACAGTTTTCTAAAGAAGACATACAGATGGCCAACAGGTACATGAAAAGGTGCTAAAAAAAATCACTAATTATAAGGAAAATACAAATCAAAACCACAATGAGATAACACCTCACAGCTGTTAGTATAGCTATTATCAAAAAGACAAGAAATAATACATGTTGACAGTCATGTGGACAAAAAGGAACCTTTGTGCACTGTTAGGAATGTAAATTGGTACAGCCATTATGGAAAACAGGACAAAGCTATCTAAAAAAGTTAAAATCAGAACTACCATGTCCAGCAATCCCTCCTTAGAGTATTTATTTGAAGAGAAAAAATACTAATTAAAAAAATATATATGCACCCCCTATATTTACTAATCAACCTAAGTGTCTGTTGATGGATGAATGAATAAGGAAATTGTGGCATAAATACAATGGAATATTATTCAGCTCTAGGAAAGAATGAAAGATTGCCATTTGTGACAACATGGATGGATCCTGAGGGTATTATTCTAAGTGAAATAAGTGAACAGAGAAAGACAAATATTACATGATCACACTTAATGTGGAACCTGAAAAACAAAAACAAAACCCAACCTCATAGAAAGAGAGAAGACAGTGGTTGCCAGAGATGGGGGATGAGGATAGCCAAAATGAGTGAAGGGGACCAAAAGGTACAAACTTCCAGTTATAAAGCAAATAAGTCATGAGGATATAACATACAGCATGGTAACTGTAGTCAATAATTCTGTATTGCATATTTGAAAGTTGCTAAGAGAAGTAAATCTTAAAAGTCCTCACCACAAGAAAAACACTAATTTGTACTATGTTTCATGAGGAATGTTAACTAGACTTATTGTGGTGATCATTTTGCCACATATACTTATATCAAATCATTATGTTGTACATTTGAAACTAATATGATGTATGTTACCTATACCTCAATGAAAAAATAATTTTGAAAAAAGGTTTGGGAGAGAATAAAAGAAAGATAATTAGAAACAAAAGCATAGACAATGACACAGGGCATTCATCGCTGGAGAATTGGTGACTTCCATCAGTAGGAAGTAGGGAGGAATAAGAAGTAACTGTTTTATGGATATAGGGTTTTCTTTAGGAGCAATGAAAATGTTTGGAACTAGATTGAGGTGGTGGTTGCACAATGTTGTGAATATATTGTGGATGAAAAAGGGGCCACATACTAAATCTGACAAGAGAAATTTTATTTCTCTTCCACATAAAGAATGTCTGGAGCTGAAACCGGTTTGGCTCAGTGGATAGAGCGTCGGCCTGCGGACTGAGAGGTCCCGGGTTTGATTCCGGTCAGGGGCATGTGCCTGGGTTGCGGGCACATCCCCGGTGGGGGATGTGCAGGAGGCAGCTGATCGATGTTTCTCTCTCATCGATGTTTCTAACTCTCTCTACCTCTCTCCCTTCCTCTCTGTGAAAAATC